CTGATTTAGATCCTGCATTAATTTTCCATTAATGGATAATGGGTAAAAATAAAGTGATTCAGAAAAGATCTTACCATGTGCTGATTAATAATTGTGCTTATTCGTGAAGTTGGGTACATCTATCTGAAACAAGAGAATAAAATCATAATTATTTCAATAAACTGAAGAAATAAAGTGGCATTCCAAAGGTACAAAAAAAAGTTTCACTGCGACTAAGGAAATTGAATATAGAACTTGATTGACAAAATATTTTCAAGCAAAAATATATGAAGGATTACCTAATTAATCAAAACAGCCCAGACCACGACGAACGGGCAGTCATGCAGATATTTGAGACGGTAACTGCCATAATTCCCCAGCTCCTCAGTAAACTGGATCCCTGGATCCTCCTCGCTTATGATGAGAATTATTATATGATCCTAAGGAAGAATGAATGTTCCAATTATCCTTGCCAAGAGAATAGTTATATCTAATTATAGGTAGGTATTGTGAGAAAAAAAAAAGATACTCACAACTAAAGCATCTGGCAACCTGCTCCTTATTACGTCAGCTGGTATAGGTTCTGGAAGATGAAAAAAAAAACTTTCAGAACAGGAAAACCTTATAAAAAAAATTGGATTCCATCAAAATTTACAACATATTCATTTTGGATGATAAAACAGTCACAAAAATACTCACCCATCTTTGATGTGTTGATAGTTAGGAATATTCTAGGACAAATTGGATATTGCCATTTTATAGATGCACTATAGCAAATACTGCACTTCTGCAAACAATATGCATAGATAATTTCATTAGATAATTATACTGATCATTTATTTAACCCTGAGAGTTTTTATTTTTCTGATGTACAATGATTATACCACCGTCCAAATGGACCTTTAATGATATCGTCCAGCTTTCGAAGTTATTCAATTAATACAGGCAAAGATTACACATACAGATAATGTTGATATTGTACAATTTCATTATTTACCAAGTAATTAACGCAACTTCTCAACTAAGCAAACACAATGATGAAAGTCGTTTTCGCTAAGTGCGGAGATTCTCCATATACAGGGAGAATATCCCAACAGGTATCCCATGGAGGATACTGCGATCAAAAGGGCACGAAGGTCTGGATTCCAACTGAGCAGGGTGTATAGGTACATACAGGAAGATCAGGATTTCCCACGAGGCATACTGCAATCAATGGGGCATACTGCAATCGATATAGAATAGTACAATCCATATAGGGAATTGCGATCACAGAGGGTTTGATCGTGGTCACCGCTTTGAATACCTACTCAGGTCGATAATTTTCAGATTTCAAAATAATGTAATATCTTCTTAATATTGATTCGTCCTCTCTTCTGTCACAGGAAAAAATAGTGTATTATACACGGGAAAAATATCAGATTTTAGCTCACGGTTTTTTGTCTCCCTGCGCAACTCGTCGGGAGAAAACACAACCTGGAGCTAAAATCTACTACTTTTTCCTCTTGTATAATAAATAACTATTTTTCTGTAACAAAAAAAAAAGTTGTTGACAGGTTATGAAATGTCACTTTTCATAAATTACTTTTTTCCCGAGATTTAGTACAGTATATGTATAAGAGCAACCATTTCGGTTTTGATCATATTACATTCCAATATGACGAATTTCCAGTTTTCTGAATTTCCTTGCAGTTCGAATCATTTTTCAAGGAAGCTGTGGAAAACAACATTTTTGAATCTCATCATGGAGATTGCATTGTTTCGACCTGTTGAACATGAATATTGAAAAATATACAGGGTGTTCCATTTAAAAAATCAAAGTTGCTACCTGTACCAAAATAATAATCTAGAAGGATGACCAATTACTATGGAAAAGTTACAATTTCATTCATAATTTGTTTTATTGTTATTTTTATGTCGCATTGATAACAGATGGAAGATTGGAATGTTTCAATTTATTTGTCCCGAAGAATAGTTGGGTCATTCAGAATCTGAATAATCCGATGTAATATATACTGAAAGTGCAATTACGATTAGAACCAGATAGTATTTCAGAGGAGAAAATGACGCATGGGATAGTTATGTCCTTATTTTTTTATATTGAGAAATAAACAATGACTCAAAATACACTTGAGTCGATATATCTCCAAAATAATGTATCAAACATCACATCTGATACTCTCACGATACATTTATGGCGTTTTTGTACTGGAAAAAAATAACTTGCGTCAACTTTTTATGGAAGACTTCTCACAACTGACCGTTGCGGCAGTTTTCTTCCAGTGAAATAGTGCCAATTGATACAAATTACATAACGACATAATTAACATCAAGCGGCCAAATATTACACTAAAATTATATGGCATTATTTTACCATATAGATTCAGCTTTTCTTTATCTTCTGGTGGGTATAACTCATTTTTCGAAAATGTTCCAGTTACGTCATTCTTATTCTGGAACGGCGATATTTTGTTTTCTATATTGACAAAATTTGCGATTCTGTTATTTCACAAAATGCCAAGGTGCTGTAATGTTCAGTATTGTCATGTCAAGAAAATGTCATTGTGATCAAAATTCAAAATTTCGAATTTTTATTGGAATTCGTATGAATACTCTGTGAAATTGAAGTTTTCAATCAAATTGAAAAGGACAAAACATCAAAACAAAAATTGAATGTATAACTAATAATATTCAATCACATATTTCCGAATCTGGTATGAATGGTTCCTAGCAAGAATTTGAATTTAGTGAAGGTAGATCAACCTCTATACAAAATCTTCAGTTCAATTGAATAATCTGCATGTAATTCAGATATATAAAAATGATTGTGAATTAAGTACATAAAACACATATTCACATTACATACAGGTTATTTTTGTCATGTCATTTTGTCATTTCACATATTCCCTCATCTAGATTATCTGTGAAACTGTCGACACCATTCTTTGACATTATTATCCAGCACGGAACCTCTGGTGTCTAGTAAAACAAATAACTATCTATACTCGCCTGGTTTCAATATCTCGTCAAAGCGTCAAAGTCACCCAGACAGCACTGGATATTCCTAGAATATTTTCTAAATATGCTAAAAGAGCAGAGTATATTCCGAATATCCACCGAATATTCCGAGAATATATGTGCCTCTGGAATAACGAGAGAAAATTCAAATTTGAATATTCTAGTAATATTTCAAAATAATATAAACAGAATATTCCAGAAGAAATATTCAAAGATTAATATTCCAAGAATATTTGTTGGATTGTTCAGGGAATATTCAGGTATGAATATTCCAGGAATATTCTCAACTGAATATTCATGGAATATTCCATAATAGTTATTTTCATGTGTTTCAATGATATATAGTATAGTATAAATACCAATCTCTATATTATATTTTATAATTGCGAGTATCAAACATTTATTATGATAATAATGTGGTAGAAATCCATCGTATCTCAAATAGAGTGGCTAGTTAGGAATCATGAACACAAAGCCATCACCACAATTTTAATAGGGATCAAATTACTCAATCAGATCATCTTACATGTTTCGAGCCCATATAGGCTCATCTTTATCATTATGTATCATGATTTTGAAACATGGAAGTGTTTATGATCCGATTCTGAACAACGCTCTTTAAGAAATTGTTATACAGGGTCGCTGATATGTATGGAAACAGGTGAATATCTCGGTAATCTGTTGTTAGATTTTTTTGAAATTATGTACAGTGTGATTTCAAAACGTGGCGGATTTGAAAATGTTATAGCCTCTGTTGCCACTTTTTCAGTTATTCCGGATTTTTAGTAACTTCCTTATTTTGAATGAAACACCCTGTACTTTATTGGATTTCCAGATTCTCCTTGAAGAGCTGATTCCATCGATCTATCACACTTGGGGTCGAGCGGGAATGATTACATAGGTATAGGGTGTTTAAAATCTAGGTTTTTCAACTTCAAGATTTTTTTGTGTAACAGATACAGAGGGTGATCAGAATTCTGAATCTTGAACCACCCTGTATTTGTTTCAATTAAATGTCAGTAGATAGTAAATCAGAAGTAAAGATGGGAACATTGGAGCGGTTTTGATCGATAATGAATAGTTTCGACACAAAAAAATACTAAAGTTGAAAAATCTAGATTTTAAACACCCTATACCTATGTATTCATTCCTGCTAGACCCCAAGTGTGATCGATCGATGGAATTAGCTCTTCAGGGAGAATCTGAAAATCCAATAAATTACAGGGTGTTCTATTCATAATAAGGAAGTTAATAAAAAATCCGGTATAACTGAAAAAGTGGCAACATTGGCTATAACATTTTAAAATCTGCCACGTTTTGAAATCACACAGTACATAAATTCAAAAAAATCCAACAACAGGTTACCGAGATATTCACCTGTTTCCATACATATCAGCGACCCTACAATATCATTCAACTGGATTACTGGCCTAGTGGTTGAGGCGTTGCATCACCTATCTCGGGTCAGCTTTTTTAATTATGAATATGTTCAGTGGAATATTCCAGGAATATTCATTTATTAATATCCCTGTACTATCTCTGGAATATTTCGAATATTATCTGAATATTTCGAGAATATAATAGGTACATTCTGAATATATAGGGAACATTTCTTGTGAATATTCTAGGAATGTATACATTCTTCCTCACCAGCACATTCAGGGAATATTCTGTAGAAGATATGTATATTCCTGGCATGTTCATGAATATTCCCAAAATCCAAAAATAATATTCGATGAATATTCATGGAATATCTGGTGCTGTCTGTGCATGAATGACAGTTTGGATTCTTCCGCGCGTTGAACGGAAGCATTTTGCGGAGATTTTCTGGTTGCTGTTAAATATGCTAGGATATGACATATTATAGCGGTCTAAATAGAAGGTTTTGAAAAAAAATTGACGAATTGTCAATAGTACCTTGATAATGGCACTATTTGTTCTCTGAATAAATCATGAATGAGAGTATAATCAGTAAATATTATGCACAGATCACGCAATTATTTTACCTTCAATGGAAACTCTGCTGACATTCTTTTTTGATAATTTCTCCATATTCTTGACTTCCTAAAAAAACTTTCGATATAGTTCATAGTAAGATTTATTTGTATTGTGTCAAGTAGGTACGTACCACTTCATCATTTCCGTAGTTGATATTCATGTTTATTTTGAAAGGAGAATTGGGCATATATGTCTTGTTCAGCTTTTTGGAAAACTGTTCACTTGATATCAATCTGAATATTTTTTTCAGGCTCTCTGGATCTGTAAAGTATATAGATATGATAATATGTTGTTGAAACTCAAAGCAATACTATAGCTTCTCATCTTTGAGCCTTCATAATATTTTTATTTCTTACTCGGTTTATAAAAATATTAGGTGTTCACAAAAAACGACTTTTCGAATTTTTATTTCTTTTTATAGTATACACGACCTTTTTTTTTCTTTTTTTTTCGATCTGATATCTGCGATAGTGATTATATTATCCACAGTGAATGAGTTTTATCATTTATTTTTCATTTATTCATATGTAATACTACAAGAGATGCTATTTTGCCGGAAATATCCGGCGAGCTTGATACCCGAAATGAGTTCATTAGAATAAATTCATATAACCCGTTTGTGAGAAATATATCATCAAAAGGTGCGTTTTTTTGGTTTCCCAATGGTGGCAGTAGAATTGACGACCAATAAAACAATGTGATTAATTTTGTGAGTTGTGACATTCAGCTGATCTTTTTCAGGTTATACATATAATAATAATATAATTCTGGGATCTTGCTACGAAAGCGTCTAGGGGTCACACAATTAAAATATTTTTTTCCAATATATTGGAAAAAAAATCTAATATTAAAAAATAATCCAATATATTGAAAAAAAAATCCAATATATTGAAAAAAAAATCCAATATATTGAAAAAAAAATCTAATCTATTGAAAAAAAATCCAATATATTGAAAAAAAAATCCAATGTATTGAAAAAAAAAATCCAATATATTGAAAAAAAAATCCAATAGGTATATTGGATTTTTTTTCATTATTCAAATCCAGGAAAAATGAGTAGTGAGTGATGAATGTGCCAAGCTGCTTGTTGTGCTAGAGTGCATTAGTAGTGCTCTGCTCGCTTTGACTGATTATATTATTACCACGACTCAATACGGAAATGGACAATGATGGAGATTTACTAAACGTCTCAAGAAATCATGCTGATTTTATAATAAAGGATTATTTTCTGAGTAGCATGCATTATGAAGAAATACTAGCCTTTCTGTATTTGAGACATAATATGGTAATGAGTTTTTCAACACTCAAACGTAAACTGAGAAGTATGAAATTGAATAGAAAAAGGAATTATTCCGCATTATCCACTGTGATCGATTTCATCCAAGCTCAGTTGAAGACGTCTGGTCAATTATGCGAATATCGTTGGATTCACCAGAGATGTTTACAGAATGGACTTGTAGTGACGCAGAATACAGTTACTTTTTTATACGATTATTTTTCGATAATATAATCTGCTAGAATTATGAAAATCCACACCTCTTGCAAAAATATTGTTACATCTCAGATATTATACATAACATGGCAATAAATCGTAGTGGATATGCAGAGAAACAGCACAAAGATTGAAGTAGTTTTTCATCATCATTTTCATATTTTACCCGCCTCTAAAATAGTATTTGGTAGTAGAAAGTAGTTGAATTTTTTTAGTCACTATGTAATTCCCCGCTCGAGTCTTTCAGTCCTTGCTTTGTGTTGTCGCCGACAGTTGTCGCTGGCAGATTTGCACACTTCGACCGTCAGCGGGGTTCTATAGTCGTGGAACTTTTCTGGCCGTTGGGATTAAATTTTCAATATATTGAAAAAAAAAACAATGTATTTGATTTCTTTTTCAACATATTGGATTTTTTTTCAATATATTGGATTTTTTTTTCAACATATTGAATTTATTTTTCAATATGTTGGATTTTTCTTCAATATATTGGATTTTTTTTCAATATATTGATTTTTTTTTCAATATATTGAATTTTTTTTCCAATATGTTGGATTTTTTTTCAATACATTGGATTTTTTTTTCAATATATTGGATTTTTTTTCCAACATATTGCATTTTTTTTCCAATATATTGAAAAAAAAATGTATTTTAAATGTGTGACCCCTAGACGCTTTCGTATCTTGCGGTTCATCCGTACATAATTATAATTATAATTCATAATGGATGTTGTTCCCGCTTTCTTGTTATCCTCCTTTAGTAGGTGCATCGGTTAGAAGGTAAAATACATTCATATACATCGATGAAATTGACCGCTTAATACTTCAAAGAATTTTATACCTGTATGAGTCTTCTGATGTTATCGACAGAAATAACTGACCAAATTTGTGTTGATATTTCCAGATTTTCTAGCAATATCATAGCAAAAATTCAAAATTGTGAAAATGAAAAAGTAATACCGCAAATAGATTTATTCAACATTCAAGTCATTTCAGGATGAGTCCAGAAGGGTTTGAAAGTATTCTGGGTAGAATTGCTAATCATTACAAAACATTTCCTGAGGCGAGTTCACTTTTAGGCAATTTTTAAGTCACATTTTGAGGTTAGAGTATCTGAAATACCGCCATTTCACACACACTCCCTCCCGAGCTCCCTCCTGAGTCCCTCCACAATCATCTTCCTGTCATTCCGTATGAGAAGACGGAATGAAAAGTTGGTACCAGTTTCAGAATTTCGTTCAATAAAACGACATGAATTGTCATTCCGGTGGAAGAACCTTGCCAATAAAACGCACCTAAAATCACTGATATGAATGCTTCTTGGAAGTTTCAAGCTCATCAAGATCAGAGTTTGTACAAATATACTTCTCCAATACAGTTTAATTTTCAATTAATATTTTTATATCTTTTCACATCATATTATTAATCTGAATTTGATGTCGATTCTGGATTTCAGAAGATTTTCAATTTCATATCCTCATCTTGGGTGTTTAACAAATGTAATTCAATATTCGTCGTGGCATATGAAACAAGTTGTTTTCTGTTGAATATACCGAGAAAGAATTAATATTTTGATCAGATAGAGAATGCGAATTATCAATGCATTTTTTTATGTATCCATTTTCTTCAAGTAATACATCTAAGAATATTCCTTTTCAATCATAACAAATTTGCATTTTTTCGCCAAATTCGAAAAATTGCTCATTTCTGCATTGAAAGCCATCTGAGCGCGCGTAAAATATTATGAGGATTACGAATCTATACATATTTTTGTCTTAGATCCAAAGAATAACAGAGTGGCATATTTTTCTAGCAAATTCAAAAAAAGATAACCATCAAGGCGCACATAAAATGTCACGAGGCTTCCGAATACCAAAGTTGCTTTTTTTTAACGAGTACAATTTCAAAAATTGCTCAATTTTGCATTGAAAACATCTAGGCGCACGTGAAATATCAGGAGGAATCCGAATCTATACATATTTTCGTCCTATATCCGAATTTGCATATTTTACTCGCCATATTACAGAGTTTGCCTAGTTTTGCATTGAAAATCATCTAGGCGCACCTATAATTTTACGATTACACATTTTTGTCCTAGATCCAAAAAATAACAAATTTGCATATTTTTCTCGCCAAATTCCAAAAATTTACTAATTTTGCAGTTAAAACCAAATGGGTACAGGTAAAATATTACGAGGGTTCCGAATCTTTACACACTTTTGTTCTTAATGTCACGAGGATTACAAATCTATACATATTTATGTCCCAGATCTAAAGGATAAAAAGTTGCTTTTTTCGTCAAATTTCAAAAATTGCTCAATTCTGCATTAAACAGCATCTAGGTGTACATAAAATGTCACGAGGATTCCGAATCTATGCATATTTCCGTCCTAGATCCAAAGGATAACAAATTTGCATTACTCTCAGAGCTGGGCATTATTTGTATTTACCGAGGTATTTACAAATACTTTTTAGAATTTAAATACTTTCCGGTATTTAAATACCGAGTATTTAAATACTTTCTGATTCAGGTATACATGTTTATTCTTACAAATATTTGTTGGAATATATTTATAATTTGTACCTATTTGCAAATAGTTTCGCAAAGTATTTGAATATATCTGAAGTATTTAGATACTTTCGGAGTATTTAAATACTCAAAAGTATTTAAATATTTCAGAAGTATTCAAATAGTCGCAAAATATTCAAATACTGTGGAACTATTTAAATACTTAGGAGTATTCGAATACTCCGTGAATAATTGAATATTTAGATTCTGACTTACGACCATCACGACTATGATATCATTTTCTTAAATGAAACATCCTGTGGATTTTAGCTTTTTAGAATCTGAGCTGATATCAGAGACCTCCACATCCAACATCCAATGTAGTGAATGGTGAATTTATTTCACCAATCTGACAATGATAATTCATATATTCGAATCGGCAGGAGAGGCGGAGGCACCTTACTGCTGATCAAAAAAGACCTCGACCACTACCCGATCAACACCCCAGCACTGAACTCCATGGAAGCAACCATGGCGACTGTGAAAACACGAAACCACGGCGACATCCAGATAGTTTCAGCATATCAATCAGACATCCAAATAGACCTCCAATATTACACACAAGATATACACACGGTAATATCTGGTCGAAATCCACCCATAGCAGTCGGTGACTGGAATGCCAGACACCAAAACTGAAATTGCATCACCTCAAACATGAAAGGGAGACTACTTGTAGAATACCTTGAAGGAAGCGAGGACACCACTGTGCTAGCCCCACCAGATCACACCAGATATGACCACACCCGTACTCCAAGCACAATTGATATAGCCCTCCTGCGAGGACTTGAAATGCCAGTTGAAATTGCTACCCACCACGACGGATCATCTGACCACGACCCAATCCTGCTACATGTAGGAGAAGGAAATGAGCCGGACCAACCCATCGAAAGAAACAAAATCAACAGGACCATGTTCCAGGGAATATTCCATGACCGAATAAGCCCAATGCCCATAATAGTCACAGAAAATGATCTGGAAGAGGCAAAAAGAAGTACAACAATCACACACACCACCAGATGGAATCTACAGCATGATCTACCACCAGAACTACGCGAATTGTTGAGGGAAAAAAGGAGAGCCAGGAAACTGTCCATCAGAACCAGGCAACCCGAACATAACCAATTAGCAAGGCACCTAGCCCGATAAGTAAGGAGAGAATTGCAAACCCAGAAATGAACTTTGGGTCGAAAAGCTTATGTCG